AGGGTCTCCGGGGGCCCTGGGTCCTTCACCCCCCCCCCCCACCCCCGGGGGCTGTGGTGATGCATGTTCCTGGCCCCAGGGGTGTGTTGGCCCCTTGCTAACGGAGACCACCTCCACTGCCCCCGGCCCTGAATATGAACCCCGCAGCCCTTCGCTGCAGCGGGGACATCACTGGGTCTCGGGGAGCAGGGGGGAGACCCCTCCCCATGGCCCTGTGGCAGCCAGGATCGGGGCCTTGCACAGGCGGACTCCCACCCCCTCCCTTTGGAGAGCCAGAGGCTGCACGGGCCACGGCCCCCCATGCCCCACCCCAGCCCTGGCTGAACTCACCGGGGTGCCCTCGCACAGGCCCGGGGGGCTGCTGGAGCCGAGGGAGAGTCGCGGCTGGCAGCCAGCAGCAAACCACCTCTTGCTAGGGACCCCCCCCAGCTGGCCCAGCAGGGCTGGGGGTGCTACCCCTGTCCCGTGCCCCCGTCCCAGGCAGCCGAGCAGGGGCTGGGACAGGCAGCAGGGCCCCGCACACCCCACATTATGGCAGGGGTTTCAGGGGCCAACGTCCCCGGGGCCGAGTGCAGCTTCACCCTGCTCCTGCCCACGCGCGGGTTGGAGTTTAGGGTGCACAGAGACGGGGCTGCTCCTCTCACGGGCGGCCGCTGTGTCGCACTCAGAGCCAGGCCAAGGGTCCCTGGCTGGCGAGTTCAAGACCCGGATCACAGAGGGGCCTTTCTCATTTTGGGGTCTCCCTGGGGGGGCTCTAGCACGGATGGGGCCCTGCCATGTCTGGCTAGGAGGAGACTTGGGAGCTGGGTGCAAGGGCTGGCGGGGCAGGGGTAAGAGCAGCGGGTAACGCCGGAGCCAGGGCGGGCATCCCCGAGCCCTTGCAATGCTGGCCGGGCAGAGCGAGAGGCGCAGCTCAGCCCCCTGGCCCGGGTGGGCAGCGAGCACGCGGAGCCGGCGGGGAGCAGGAGCCGTTAGTTTATTGAAGGAAGACTATTTCTAGAGTAAAGGCTACATCGTCATGTCGCTGGCTCCTGCCCGGATCGTGTTAAAAAGCCAGTGATGCACGGGAGCTGGTTCCTGGTCTCATGCTGGCGTCCGAGGAGTCCGTGGGACCGGGGGGGACGAGGCAGGGGACGACGGGGGAGGTTCGAAGCACCATACGATAGTCGGGACGTCGGTGTCGGAGCGGGCAGGATCGAGGGGGCTCGCGGCCGTCGGTTGGGGCAATGTACACTTGTAAACAGAGCCGCGGGGCTGGGGCTGGGGCTGGGGCCGGGCCTGGGGGGGTCAGTGCATCCTCCAAGTCCCTGCCTGGACCCTGGACTTGGCCTCTCGGAGGGGCTGGGGGTGGCTCACGGGACCAGCCTGGCATGGGGCAGAGGCGATCCCAGCCCCTTGGCCCCCAGGACACAGACTGGGCTGGGTTCAGCTGGGTTGGGGGGTGAACCCCTTTCTTTGCCCTCGGCGGCTGGCTCCCTCCCTGGCCCCGTGTGGGTGGAGGGGCAGCCCAGGTGAGACAGGTCAATGCCGGGTCCTGAGGCCTGGGCATTGCTTCTCCACGGGCCAAATCCCCCAGCGGGTGCGAAGGGGTAGGGCTGGCAACCTGCCCCCCAGGGTGACCCTCCAGCACTGCTCCCACTGCGGATCTTCCCCCTGTGGGGGGTTCAGGCTCTGTAGCGGGTGCCTGGGGCAGGTTTGTAGCCCCGCTCTGGGCCCGGGACATGGGGCAAAGCAAGCAGGCGCCTCCCTCAAACCCTGAACCTGGCCGGGCTGGCCCGGCTCCAGGGAGCCACAGCTCGAGCCCCTACATCCAGGGCGGCTCGGGCAACCTGGAGACCGAGGGCCTCCGTCACAGCAGGGCCGGGCCATGGGCAGAGCAGAGGGGCAGGGTGTCAGGGCCAGTTCGAGACCCGACCGGGATGCAGGGCAGGGCATGCATTTGGCCTGGCTTTCTCCCCCCGCCCTGTGGGACCAGCTCAGGGTGCCCCGTGCATGCTCACCCGCATTGTGCTAGGATGGGGCTCTGGCAGAACCCACTGCGTTGTGCTTTGGCTGGCAGCTCCTGGGCTGCACGGGGTTAAGGAGCGGGGCGGGGCGGGGGTGCAAGGGGCAGGCTCTGCTCAGCAGAGGGGCTCAGGCTGGGGGGGTCTGGGTGCAGAGCTGGGGGTGCTGCCAGGCCGGGACCTCACTGCTGTGGGTGGGGCTGGGCTAGACGGGGTCCCGCAGGGATGCGTCCCTGGCCGGGGAGCAGGCCTGCGGACTGGGGGATGCAGGGCTGGGTGCTGGGGGTGCAGAGGGGAACGTGCTCCCCCCCGTGCAGGTGCCCAGGGCTGCCCCCGAGGCCAGCGTGCACCCTGCCAGCAGACTCGTCCCTCTCAGGACCTAGCCTGGGTCTGAAAGCACACGCATGAGACCTGCACAGAAGGGACTGGGTGTGCAAACCGGGCAGTGATCGGACCAGGAACGTGCCACGCGCATGCTAGTGCCAGCACGGGGCAGTCGTACATGCAGGGTGTATGGGCAGCCCCTGGCACGCAGGCATGCATGCTCATCTTCCCCATCGCCCTCCAAGCCGCCTGCTGGCCCATGGATGCACCCTCTGCACCCAGGCCGTGCCAGGGCCTGCTTAGGGGGAGTGCGTACCAATGCCCCCCTGCAAAGCCCCAACTGCCCACCCCCTCACAGAGGCCTGGTCCCATCCCACCAGCCCCTGCCTGGCTGCAGCTCCCCCCTGGAAGCCGCAAAGCCTTCCCCAGCAGGAAGAAACAGCTGGCTGGACACAGCATCCAGCACCCCCTTCCCCGGGACTGAGCACCCTTCCTGCTGCCATCTCAGGGCCTACTCCAGCCTCCGCTGCCCTCTTCCTCCCTCCAGCATGCCCACAGCCCCCCGCCATCTGCCACCTTGCCCGCTCTGCTCCCGTGCTCTCCCCTTTGCCTCCCAACCCTCGCCCAATGTGCGGCAGGTGTCCCCTGCCCTTCGTGCCCCAGCGCACCGGGAGTCCCCGCAGAGCTCGGCATCAGCTCCGGCACGGACGAGAGTCTCTGGTCTCTTGTGCATACGACCTGAGTGTGGCCCCAGCCCCGGCAGGGCCGCGGGGACCTGGGCATTGTGCTGCGGGCAGGGTCCCGCCCCGGGCGGTCAGAGCTCACTGCCAGTCCTCAGAGACAAGAAAGCAGGTGTAGAGCGGAGCGGTGCTCGGGGACGGCACAGCAGAGGGGCGGCCAGGACACGGGTGAGAGAGCAGCGCTTGCCCCCTCCTTCACGGGGTTTGGTTTGCAATGGCAGGTAGGGACCCTGCTGTGCCCGGGTGAGAGTCCAAGAAGCTGGCAGCGTCCTCCGCGTGCTTCATGCCAGGACACGGGACTCGCACGCGTGCCAGGGAGCATCCATGCTGGAGCCGGGCAGCGTCTGCACACACAACAGTTCTCAGGACTTCCCCAGCGGAGGCGTCTCCTCAACTCGCTGCTAGGAGCAAACTGGACGCAGCCTGGTCCCTGCCCTGCTATTGCCAAGAACACGCCGCCGGGCCGGGCGCCGCGGGGCCGGAGAGGAGAAGGCGAGGGCCAGGTCCCGTGGGCACGGCGGCTTCCTCGGCGCAGTCACAGTGATACGATGCAGAGAGGCGGGCAGGGCGGGGGGGCACAGGGCAGCGCTGCCCGGAGCTTCGGGGCCGACGTTCGGAGGGAGACGGGGAGGAGGGAGGCGTGGAGGAGAGGAGGCCGCGGGCACGGAGGGTCCGTCACATGAGGCTGCACTTCCCCTTGATTTTGTCTGTCCTCTTCTGCTTGTTGGAGCGCTTGCCGTCGATGGTGAGGCTCATGTTCCTCTTCTTCTCCAGGTTGAGCAGCTCCTGGAAGAGCTCCTTGACATTGTAGTTCATCTTGGCCGAGGTCTCCATGAAGGCGCACTTCCACTCCTTGGCGACCGCCTCGCCCTCCTTGGTCTCCACCTCCCGCTGCGTCTCATCGCACTTGTTGCCCACCAGCATGATGGGGATGCTCTCCACGCTGCCCTTGATCTGCAGGATCTGCTGGTAGATGGGCTTCAGCTCCTCCAGCGACTGCTTGCTGGTGACGGAGAAGACCAGGATGAAGGCATGCCCCTTGGAGATGGACAGGCGCTGCATGGCCGGGAACTGGTGGCTGCCGGTGGTGTCGGTGATCTGCAGCGTGCACACGCTCTTGTCGCAGCTGATGACCTGCCGGTAGGTGTCCTCGATGGTGGGGATGTAGGTGTCGCGGAAGGTGCCCTTCACGAAGCGCAGCACCAGGGAGCTCTTGCCCACGCCCCCCGCCCCGAACACCACCACGCGGTAGTCGTTGCTCTGCTCCGGCATCGTGGATCCGGGATGCGGACGCCCCTGGGAGGGGAGAGAGAGGGACACGCTCCTGTCACGTGTGGGGGAAGCATGAAGAAACATGCCGAGTGGCATGGGGCATCCTCCTGCCAGCCCAACCCGCCCTTGGACAGGGCACGTCAGAGCAGCCCACGCCCTGTCCGGCCCCTTGTTCAGCCTCCCCCGGCTCCACGGGGTCTCCTCGCCACCCCACGCCGGAGGGACCCCCCTGCACACCCAGCCCTGCCCAGCCTGGTGGGTAGGGGCCCTGCCAGGCCGGAGAGACCCATTGCAGGGCTCTTTGTTCCCACAGTGCAAAGAAACCAGAGGGCTTGTAACCATCCATGCTCCCTGCCCAGCATGGCCACGACTCAGGAGTAACCTTCAGGGAGCCGGGGCCAAGGGGAGGTTGCAGCTATTTCCCCAGGGCTGGGCTGGGCTAGAGGCTGCTTCCTGGCCTGAAGGAGCCCCTGGGAGAGGCTGCAGCAGGGCTGGGGCTGGTCTTAACCCCCTCACTCCGCTCCCCCAGCGGCTTCAGTGCCTGGGCAGGCAGACCGGCCCCCTCCCTGAGCACCCCCTTAGCCCCTGGGCTCAGCTCCACCTGCGTGCCAGGAGGCTGGAGGGAAGCCCAGTGCCCATGTGAGCAGGAAGAGGCACATCCCAGCTCTGCAGCCCAGCAAGGGGAGGGGGCTCCAGGGGGGCCATGAGTCAATGGGGGTCCAGGTGCACCCCCACCCCAGCGCCAGCCTCTCCTCAAATAGCCTGGATTTCCCAGCCCCCTTCCCCAAGCCCAGCATGCAGCCACCTCTGGGGGGACACACCACACAGTGACACCCCCCCCCCCCGGATGCTGCCTGCTCCTGCCTGCCCTCTCCCTTCTCCCCCCTGGGCCTTTGGCAGCTCTGTCAGCTCAGGAGCCAGCGCGGGTCGAGGCTGCGCTGACGCTGGCTCAGCCCGTGGTGCTGCAGAGCTGTCAGGACATGAATCACCATTTCACAACCCCCAGCACAGACACGAGGCGCTAGCACAGAGGCCCCAGCTCTCCCCTGCCCACCCACCGGCCTGGCCCCGGGCAGGGGAGGGGGTGCTGCTGCACAAACACCTGCCCCAGCCAGGCAGCAGGAGCTGGGGATCGAACCCAGGCAGCCCGGCTCTCGGCTCTAAGCACTGGGGAACAGGGTGGGACAAACCCAGCACCTCTTGCCCTTGATGAGTCCTTGCTGGTGCTACAGCCGCACCTGGGGCAGGTGAGCAGGGAGGGGAGGGGGCTGTGGCTCTGCTCCGGGGCCAGGAAACACCCCCCCGTAATAGCGGCTATTTTTACCCGAGGCTGCCATATGGCCGGGCGGCCTGTGCAGGGGCCAGCTGGCGGGAGGAGCTGTTTCGGGAGGGGGGAGCTCGCTGCCTGGCTCCAGCCCCCCGCACCCGGCATTGCTGATCAGGGGGAAGGGGGTGTTCGCCCCACAGCAGTGGTCCCCAGCCGCGAGCTGCATGCACCTGGCTGGGGAGAGGAGCTGGGGCTGGCTGGGCCTGGGGAACAGGCTGCAGCCCCCAGGGCTGGGAAGTCAGCATCGCCCCAGCTGGGCGGACCTCAGTGGCTTCCCTGCCCTGCCGAGCTGGGGGATGCGGGGGGAGGCTCGGCCCCAGGTAGATACACTGCGGGGCTGCACGGGTCCTGCATCCCCGCAGCTTCCAGCTCCTGCCTGCTCTGGCTCCAGGGGGTGGGGGCAGCTGGGACACCCTGCGCAGCCTCCACACAGCTCAGCCCTTTCCCTGGAAGACCTCAGTGCCCAGCACAGACCCTCCCGCTCGCCCGGCCTTGGCACCGGCTCCCTGAAGGTTACTCCAGAGCCATGGCCGCGCTCAGCCCTGGGCAGGGAGCATGGATGCTTGCAGGCCTGCTGGCTTCTTTGCACCATGCAGTGCGGCTCTCTGGCCTGGCAGGGCATCTACCCACCCTGTGCTGGGGTCAGCGCCTTTGCAAATGCCCCCAGCACAGATCAGGGCCTGGGCACGAGGCCTGGGGAAGCTCAGAGGCAGCTCCTGCCCCGCGAAGCCTGCGACAAACCCGACCAAGGGAAGCAGACACTGAGAGGGGCAGGGTCCTCCCCGGGGTGCGGAGAGGATGTCCTGCCGTCCCGAGCCAGGCCCTGTCCTGCTCCCAGCGCTGCCCCCCAAGTCCTAGCTGGACGGCCAAGTGCGGAGCTGCCGGTGCCCGCGGATGTGCTCATCTGCCTCGCGCCCGCGGCGAGTGACACGTTGGAGCTGCTGCTTCCCACCCCGGGGACCCGGGACAAACAACACGGCGCAGCAGGAGCTGCTGTTAATCACCCCCCTGGGGAATCGCTGCGCGCCAGCGCCGGGACCCGCGTCCCGCAGGCCCCCCCAGCGTGGATCAGAAACTCCCCACCGCTGCCCAGCACGCACCGAAGGCAAGCGCCTGGGAACCAGAACCCGGCACGTGTGTGTGCACGCGTGTGCAAGCATGGGCCTGCAGGTGCGAGCGTGTGCATGTGCACGCCGCTGTGCGTGCGATGCTTCACTCCAGTGCAGAGCCAGGTGAAGCTGTGGACAGTCAAAGCGGGGCAGGCCGAGGGGTGGGGAAGGGGTTTGCCGCTGAGCCACGTGCTGTAGGCTGGCCGCGTGGGCACGGCAAGCCCGAGGGGGACAGGCCACGGGGTGGCAGCCGGTGCAAGCCAGCCTCGCTGCCCCGCTGGGCCAACGCCGA